CCACACACACCCTGGGACACTGGACGGGGCCGCGTCCCCCACACACACCCTGGGACACTGGACGGGGCCGGGCGTCCCCCACACACACCCTGGGACACTGGGCCAGGCCGAGCGTCCCCCACACACACCCTGGGACACTGGACGGGGCTGGGCGTCCTCCACACACACTCTGGGACACTGGACAGGGCGGCGTCCCCCCCACACACCCTGGGACACTGGACAGGGCCGGGCGTCCCCCACACACACCCTGGGACACTGGACAGGGCCGGGCGTCCCCCCCACACACACACCCTGGGACACTGGACAGGGCGGCGTCCCCCACACACACACTGGGACACTGGACAGGGCCGGGCGTCCCCCACACACACCCTGGGCCCCCGGTGGGGAACCCAGGACGGAGGTGTCCCTCTGCCTCCAGCTCTTGTCTTACAAACAAATAATATAAAGTAGAAAAGAATGAGGCGAGGTAGGTGTGCAGATAGGGAACACTGTCATACGACAGGCATCGCTGAACGCCTGCTGTATGCACCGGGGATGGATGCAGCTGAGCGCCTGCTGTATGCACTGGTGACATGTGGTCTGAGCACCTGCTGTATGCGCCGGGGATGGGCGCAGTGCATTCCGCTGCGATCTCGGTGCGGGGGAGACCGCCGGGGCGTTCCTGGTTATAAGTGGCGGGCGGGCGTCTTCCCGCAGCCTCCGAGAGCCGCCAGGACCCAGCCGCGAGCCTGACCGGCGCCAACGGCAGCAACAGCATCAGCATGTCGGTGGAGATCAACGGCATCATGTACACAGGTACCCGCCGCGGCCGGTGCTCAGCGAGGCGGTCACAGCCCACCCCGGGGCTCAGCGCGGCCCAGCCCACCCCCCACCCCGGGGCTCAGCCTGGCCCAGCCCACCCCGGGGCTCAGCGCGGCGGTCACAGCCCACCCCGGGGCTCAGCGCGGCCCAGCCCACCCCGGGGCTCAGCGCGGCCCAGCCCACCCTGGGGGCTCAGCACTGTTCCAAGCCGGGCTCGCTCGCCAAGGCGGCCACAGCCCACCCTGGGGGGGCTCGCTCGCGGAGGCGGCCACAGCCCACCCCGGGGGGCTCAGCGCGGTCCCGAGCCGGGCTCACTCGCAGAGGTGGCCACAGCCCACCCTGGGGGGGCTCGCTCGCCGAGGCGGCCACAGCCCACCCTGGGGGGCTTAGCGGGGTCCCCGAGCCGGGCTCGCTCGCCACAGCGGCCACAGCCCACCCTGGGGGGCTCGCTCACTGAGGCGGCCACAGCCCACCCTGGGGGGCTCAGCGCGGTCCCGAGCCGGGCTCACTCGCAGAGGTGGCCACAGCCCACCCTGGGGGGCTCAGCGCGGGCCCGAGCCGGGCTCGCTCGCCGAAGCGGCCACTGCCTACCCCCGGGGGGGCTCAGCGCGGGCTCACTCGCCTGGGTTGGCCACTGCCCGGTGTTCCCCTGAAGAGTGGTGAGGCTGACCCTGGTGCTGGCCACCAGGGGGTGCTGTTGGCACAGGGCAGCCTGGGTGCCCAGACGCCTGGACGGTCAGCGCGGCCCTGCAGGTGCTGCGTGGGCTCCCGGGGTGGAGCGGCTGTGTGTGCGCGTGTGTACACGTCTGAGTCCCTGCGCTGCGTATGCACACGTGTGTGGGTCGTGTGCGCAGACAGCCGGGTAGGTGGGGAGACCGGGCGGGTCTCAGGGCGGGTCCTGGGGAGACCGGGCGGGCTCTGCGCCCTCGTGACCAGGCCTTCTGTCCCCGCACAGGAGTGCTGTTCGCGCAGCCGCCGGCCCCCGCGGCGCCCTCGGCCCCCAGCAAAGGCGGCGGCGGCGGCGGCGGCCGGGGCGCAGCCGGCGGGACCAGCGGCGCTGCGGGCGGGCCTGCGGGGCCTGCGGGGCCTGCGGGGCCTGCGGGGCTGCCCGCGCCCGCCACCTCTTCTACCTCAAGTAATTCGTTGCCTTAACCGCGTTGCCCTGCGCCCGCCGCCCTCGGTCTGCCCCTCGGGCCGGGACGGAGCCACAGCTGACGCCAAAAAGGAAAGAGAATATATACAAATAGAGTTTAATAAAGCGGGAAGCAGGCCCACGTGAATGTCTCAGGTTTCGGAGCCCAGCAGAGCGAGGACCGGCGGCCCGGCCACCTCGTCCGTCCAGCGCGCAGGGCCGGTGCGGGACGCCCGAGCCGCCGACGCGCGCCCACTTGTTGCTTGGGAACTACTTTTCTTCTTCTAATTTTTTTTTTTTTAAACGAAATAGCAACGTTCAAACTCTAGGGTTTTAAGAGGTTGTGGGGTCTGCTTTGTAAATATTTTATTCGGGTCAAGCCTTAGGAAGAGGGTATCTATATATCTATATATCTCTATATTTGTGTGCGCCCAGGGCCAGAACCGCAGCTCGCACCGTGCGCCCCGCGCCGACTCAGGGACAGGGGAGGGGGCGTCGTGGGGCCGGGCCCAGCTCAGGGCGAGGGGCGGGGCCGCGGCGCCCCGAGCACCCGCACCCCGACTTTCTCACGTCTCCTCCCCGCGCGCCCGTGCCGTGGCCCCGGAACCCGCGCCTCCGGAGCGTCTCAGGGCCCCGGGGGTCTCCCTCCGCCCGCCGCAGCACAATCGTCCTGGAAACGGGGGTCCCCCCAGCCCCCGCCTCGCCGGCGGCCCTCGGGCCCTGCTGGCCTCGGGGGGGCTGTGTCCGCTGCACATTTCTACCTCAGGTCTGACTTTGATGCCAAAAACCGCGCCGGGGCGCGCGCCTCCCGCCCGCCGCGCCCCGCGCCTCCCTGGGAGGCTGGGCGCGTGCCCGGGCGCGTGTCACATGTCACTGGGTGTGTGTGTGTGTGTGTTCCCGTGTGCGTGTCGGGGACTGGCGCGCCTGTGCCGTGCGCGCCGCCCAGCCCGGGGTGTCCAGGGCTGGATTCTACTCAGGGGACCTGGCCTGCTGTAACCGCTCCGGGGCGCCCGCTGACCGGAGCCCCTGCAGGTGCAAGGGTGGGGTCCTCCGCCCTGCCTCAGGGGCCCCCGCCCAGTGCCCCCACCGCCAGGTCCTGGCCACGCCCTGCTGCTGGGGGCGCTGGGGTGGGCTCAGCGCCCCTCTGTTAGCACGGCTGGGGGAGGGGCAGTGCCTTGCCCACCAGGACCCTGGGCAGAACCATGGGGCTCCCCACAAAACTCAGGGCGAAGAGGGCTTGTGGGAACCCCTGCTCCGACTGCTTCTAGAATCTTCTGTAACCGCTGAGGGCCGGGCGGCGCGCGCTCCGCTGCGGAGAGCCCCGCCCGCGCAGGCCCCCTGGCTCTGTTTTTCCCCCGATTTTTCTTTTTTCTTTTTTTTTTCTTCCCTTGGCACACACAAATTCAGCCTGCATTCTCGATCCTGTAAAATTTCAGTTCCTCTGGGGTCTTTGTCCGGTGGCGTGGGGACCACGTCTGAACTCAGGTAAAAGAAAAAAAAAAACTTTAAACAAAGGCGAACCTGCTCTACCTCCGGCCGGGCCCGGCCCCGCCCCGCCCGCCCCGCCCCGCCCTGCCCGCCCCGCCCCTACGGATTTCAGTCTGCAGAACATTAAGGTGTTAAAGGCAAAAAAGACAAAAAGACCAAAAAAACAAAGTGTGATTTTGAGACTTAAAGAACACTGAAAGTTTACATTTTATAACATTATTCAGATTGTATTTAAGCTCCAGAAATATTTAAGACAATTGTAACCCTGTAAAGCTGATGAGATATTAAACGAGACACTTCTGACTTGGACCAGACGCGTGTCCTGTGCTTCCTGTGCGGCTGCGGCCGGGGGGCGCGCGCCCAGCGTGGGGGGCGGGGCGCGCGGGCCCCCCAAGTCCACGGCCGCCGCGGCCCAGGCCCCCGACCCGCGGTGGCCCGCTGCTCCCTGTGCCCCAGCCCAACCCAGGGGACGTGACTGGCCCAAGGTCAGCGCGGCCAGCGGCCGGGCAGGCCCAGACTCCGGCCAGGGCCGGCCCGGGCCGGTCCCTCCGGGAGGCGTGAGCAGGGCCCCACCTGGCGCTCGCGCTCACCTCCGGCGCTGCGTGCAGGGGCAGGGTCCCGCTGCGGACAGCCCTCCTGCCGGCCAACCCGCAGGGCCAGTCCTGCGTCCTCATTCCTGGCCGCCCGCGGGTCGCTCGGCCCCTCCCGGCCTCCCCGCGGCTGCAGGTGCCCCTCGCCGGCCACCCTGGGCACGGCGCGCGGAGGCGGCTCCAGCTGCCGGACGCCGGGCGCGGGACAGCAGTGCAAGGGGGCGGCGGGGAGGGGGCCCAGCGAAGCCCCCGGGGTGTGGACTTTGTCCAGCTGCCCGGCACAACTGGTCCGTCCTCATTCCAGGGACCGGGCTGGGGGCGGGGCGACCTCTGACCTCCCGAGGCCGGCCAGGCCCGTCCCCGGGGACGCGGGGGTGGGGGCGCAGGGGCAGCTGGAGAGGCCAGTGCGGGGCGGGCGCAGCGCTCTCCCGCGTCCAGCCGCCGCCGGGCTTCTTGCGAAATGGGTGCCCGTGGCGCACAGCTGCCGGGCAGGCCCCAGGGTCCCGGAACCTGGGGAGGGAGACGTCCAGGCCGGAGGGGCCCAGCCGAGGACGGGGACCGGGGCGGGGCGGGGCGGGACCCCACCCGCCGCGCGCCGGGGAGCCACGGGACCCACCCCCGCGCCGGGGAGCCCCGAGTAGTGCCTCGACCCCACCCACTCCGCTCCCCGGGAAGACCCCGACAGAGCCCCGGGCTCCCGTGGGCATTTGGGGGCTCCCCCTCGCGGCTCCAGGTCTCTGTTTAAAAGCTGTCAATCACACTTCTCACGCAGTTTTAAAGCAACACCTGGGGAGGCTGGGAAACCGAATCCACCCAAAGCGCCCCCACTACCCCGCGGCGGGCCAGCCCCCCGGGGCCCCCGCCCCCGCCCCCGCCCCGCGGCCAGGTGGGCCGGGGCGCCCCAACCTCGCGGCCGGCGTCCAGGCGGCTCGCGCCTGCCCCCTGGCGGCCGAGCGGGGCGCCGCGCTCCTAGAAGGCGCTCGCTCCCACGACACGCGCGCCACGCCCGGGGGCGCCCCGCGGCCGGCGCGGGGGTCTGAGGGAAGCTCCGACCGCGAGGGGTCCACTGAGGCCCGCGAGGTCGGCCCTGTATTTTATTATTCGCACGTTATGAAGAACACACGCGCGAAAGGGACAGCGGCTCGGCCATCGGCCTACAAGGCCTGGGAAGAAGCGGCCAGGCGGGCCCTTCCCCGGCGCAGCGGCTCGGCCTCGACAGACAGCGCCAAGACCCCCGCGCGGGTCCAGCCGCCACGCCGGGCCGGAAAGCCCCCTCCTCCGGCCGGCCCCCTCGCCGGGGCAAGTGCGCATGCGCGCGCGCCGCTCTAGCCCGCTCGGCGCCGCCGGGCGCGCCTCGTTGGTGACGTCGCACATCCGGGGCGGTGGCAGCGGCGGCAACATGGCGGCGCCCATGGAGGTGGCCGTGTGTACGGACTCGGCGGCGCAGCTGTGGAGCTGCGTGGTGTGGGAGCTGCACTCGGGCGCCAACCTGCTCACGTACCGCGGCGGGCAGGCGGGGCCGCGCGGGCTGGCGCTGCTCAACGGCGAGTACCTGCTGGCGGCGCAGCTGGGCAAGAACTACATCAGCGCCTGGGAGGTGCAGCGCAAGGTGCGACGGCGCGGGCCGTGTCCGCAGCCGGGCGCGCGGGCCGGAGGCGGCGGGCGGCCGGCCGGCGGGGACAGCCCGCGCACGCCCTGGAGCGGGCTGGGGTCGCTTAGCCCGCCCTGCGCCTGCGCGGCTGGCCGGCGGCGGGTGGGCGCGCCCGGGCTTTGTGCGCACGCGCGCAGTGAGGGTGGGCTTGGGTCGGGACTGAGGGGCAGGGTCCCTGGGAAGCCGACTTCCCGGGCCCGCGCGCACCTAGGGGCTAGGGGGCGTGTCCGAGAGGCGGAAGCTGCGCGGAGCGTGGGGGTCCGAGGAGGAGGGGGCAGCCCTCGGCCACAGGGGTCCGCCTGAGGGCCAGTCCAGGAGCCCCCGGAAACAGCCGGCCCTTGCCATCCGGGCGCGCCGCGCCCCCTCCTCGAAGTGCAGCCCCAGCGCCGCCTGCTGCGCCCCGCCCCCGTGCCGTCTTCCCATTTGTTGGTTGGGTTAGCGGCAGAGAGAGAGAGGTCTTGCATCCGCGGGTTCACTCCCCAAGTGGCCGCAGCTGGGCACCAGGAGCTCCGTCCAGGTCTCCCAAGTGGGTGCAGAGGGCCACGCACCTGGGCCGTCTGCTGCTGCCTTCCCAGCTGTGTGAGCAGGGAGCCGGGTCGGAAGTGCAGCAGCCGGGACTCGAACTGGTGCCCCAATGGGATGCCCGCTCTGCAGACGGCGGCGTTGCCCGCTGGGCCCCAGCGCGGGCCCCAGCGGTGTCCCCACTCCAGAGGGGTCAGGAGCTGGGCCTCACGACAGGCAGGACCTGGGCGCGGGCACCTGGCCCCTCGCCCGGGAAGCAGCCCCCACCCGCAGCCCCTGGCTGAGCCCGAGCTGGGCCCCGCCCACGCCGGTGCGGCTCCCCGCCCACCCCACGCCCCCTCGTGTCCTAGGACCAGCTCCAGCAGAAGATCATGTGTCCCGGGCCCGTCACCTGCCTGGCCACGTCGCCCAACGGCCTCTACGTCCTCGCGGGCATCGCGGAAAGCATATACCTGTGGGAGGTAGGGACACGGGGCTCCCACGCGAGACGCCTGCCCGGGGCGGCCCTGGGGCGCCCGCAGGGGTGAGCCCAGTGCGGCGGGGCAGCGGGGACGGCTGCGGGCGCCCTCGAGGTCCGAGCGGCCTCTCGCTGGCCCTGATGGGGCTGAGCCGGCCTGGGCCTGCGGGTGCGGCTCTGTCTCCGTGGTCGCTCGGGGCCCATCCGGGTGCACCTGCTCCGGGCCTGGCCGCGTCTCCCGCCAGGTGCTCCCGTCGGCGGCCCCGGCCTGGATCGGGCCCTACTGAGGGCTCGCTGACCCAGGAGGCCTGGCCGCCGGGTACGTGGGACTTGAATGGGGTGGCCCCCGCGTGGTCTCGCGGCAGCCCCCGGCCCCGCCCCTGCCCCTCCCAGGTGTGCACCGGGAACCTGCTGGTCATCCTGAGCCGCCACTACCAGGACGTCTCGTGCCTGAAGTTCACGGGCGACAGCGGCCACTTCCTGTCGGGCGGCAAGGACTGCCTGGTGCTGGCCTGGAGCCTCTGCAGGTAGCGCCGCCCCCGCCCCCGGCACAGGCGGAGGCGCCGGCCCGGGCTCCCCGCTGAGTGCCGCCCCGCCCCCAGCGTGCTGCAGGTGGACCCCACGAGGATCCCGGCCCCCCGGCACGTGTGGTCTCGCCACACCCTGCCCATCACAGACTTGCACTGCGGCTGCGGGGGCCCCCTGGCCCGGGTGGCCACCTCCTCGCTGGACCAGACAGTGAAGGTAGCGCCCGCCCCAATGGCCGTGACGCCTCCTCCCCCGCGGGGACCAGGCAGGGGGTGTGGGCTTGGCCTGGGGGGTGGCTGCTGTGGGTGCTGCTCCCCTCCCCCTCCCCGTGCCCCCAGCTGTGGGAGCCCCGCCCACCTCTGCCCCAGCTCTGGGAGCCCCGCCCCCACCCCGCCCACCCCTGTGCCCAGCTCTGGGAGACCCGCCCCCACCCCCGCCCACCCCTGTGCCCCAGCTCTGGGAGCCCCGTCCCCACCCCCGCCCACCCCTGTGCCCCAGCTCTGGGAGCCCCGCCCACCCCTGTGCCCCCAGCTCTGGGAGCCCCGCCCCCACCCCGCCCACCCCTGTGCCCCAGCTCTGGGAGCCCCGCCCCTGTGCCCCCAGCTCTGGGAGCCCCGCCCCCACCCCCGCCCACCCCTGTGCCCCAGCTCTGGGAGCCCCGCCCCCACCCCCGCCCACCCCTGTGCCCCAGCTATGGGAACCCCGCCCCCACCCCCGCCCACCCCTGTGCCCCAGCTCTGGGAGACCCGCCCCCAGCCCGCCCACCCCTGTGCCCCAGCTATGGGAACCCCGCCCCCACCCCCGCCCACCCCTGTGCCCCAGCTCTGGGAGCCCCGTCCCCACCCCCGCCCGCCCCTGTGCCCCAGCTCTGGGAGCCCCGCCCCCACCCCCGCCCGCCCCTGTGCCCCAGCTCTGGGAGCCCCGCCCCCACCCCCGCCCACCCCTGTGCCCCAGCTCTGGGAGCCCCGCCCCCACCCCCGCCCACCCCTGTGCCCCAGCTCTGGGAGCCCCGCCCCCACCCCCGCCCACCCCTGTGCCCCAGCTCTGGGAGCCCCGCCCCCACCCCCGCCCACCCCTGTGCCCCAGCTCTGGGAGACCCGCCCCCAGCCCGCCCACCCCTGTGCGCCAGCTCTGGGAGCCCCGCCCCCACCCCCGCCCACCCCTGTGCCCCCAGCTCTGGGAGCCCCGCCCCCACCCCGCCCGCCCCTGTGCCCCAGCTCTGGGAGCCCCGTCCCCACCCCCGCCCACCCCTGTGCCCCAGCTGTGGGAGCCATGCCCCCACCCCGCCCACCCCTGTGCCCCAGCTCTGGGAGCCCTGTCCCCACCCTGCCCTGTGCCCCAGCTCTGGGAGCCCCGCCCCTGTGCCCCCAGCTCTGGGAGCCCCACCCCCACCCCCCCGCCCCTGTGTCCCAGCTCTGGGAGACCCGCCCCCACCCCGCCCACCCCTGTGCCCCAGCTGTGGGAGCCCCGCCCCCACCCCCGCCCACCCCTGTGCCCCAGCTCTGGGAGACCCGCCCCCAGCCCGCCCACCCCTGTGCGCCAGCTCTGGGAGCCCCGCCCCCACCCCCGCCCACCCCTGTGCCCCCAGCTCTGGGAGCCCCGCCCCCACCCCGCCCGCCCCTGTGCCCCAGCTCTGGGAGCCCCGTCCCCACCCCGCCCGCCCCTGTGCCCCAGCTGTGGGAGCCCCGTCCCCACCCCGCCCGCCCCTGTGCCCCAGCTGTGGGAGCTGTCCTCGGGGGAGCTGCTGCTGTCCGTGCTGTTCGACGTGGGCATCATGGCTGTCACCATGGACTTGGCCGAGCACCACATCTTCTGCGGAGGCAGCGATGGCTCCATCTTCCAGGTGGACCTCTGCACGTGGGTGAGTGGCCCTCTGCCCCGGGTGGGTGGCCCTCTGCCCCGGGTGAGTGGTTCTCTGCCCCGGGTGGGTGGCCCTCTGCCCCTGGGTGAGCGAGTGGGTGGCCCTCTGCCCCGGGTGGGTGGCCCTCTGCCCCTGGGTGAGTGGCCCTCTGCCCCGGGTGGGTGGCCCTCTGCCCCGGGTGGGTGGCCCTCTGCCCCTGGGTGAGTGGCCCTCTGCCCCGGGTGGGTGGCCCTCTGCCCCTGGGTGAGTGGCCCTCTGCCCCGGGTGGGTGGCCCTCTGCCCCTGGGTGGGTGGCCGCGGCCCTGCCCCTGGGTGGGTGGCCCTCTGCCCCGGGTGGGTGGCCCTCTGCCCCTGGGTGAGTGGCCCTCTGCCGCCGGGTGAGTGGCCGCGGCCCTGCCCCTCACCCCCTTCTCGGCCCCACAGCCCGGGCAGCGGGAGCAGAGCCTGCAGGCGGAGCAGGACCCCGGGAAGGTCTTCCGAGGGCACAGGTGGGCACCGCCCCGGGGTGCGGGCGTCGGCGCGGCCCCCCCCCCTGCTGAGCAGGGTCGCCACAGCTCGCGTGTGCCCCGCAGGAACCAGGTGACCTGCCTCTCGGTGTCCACGGACGGCAGCGTGCTGCTCTCGGGCTCCCACGACGAGAGCGTGCGCGTGTGGGACGTGCAGAGCAAGCAGTGCATCCGCACGGTGGCCCTCAAAGGTGGGGGCGGGGGCGGGCCGGGGGTGTGGCCTGGGGGCGGGGCCGCGGGTGGTGGGTGCCCAGTGGGAGGGGCGGGGGGCGGGGCGGGGGTGGGGGTGGGGCCGAGGGTGGTGGGTGCCCAGTGGGGGGCGGGGTGGAGGTGGGGGCGGGGCCGAGGGTGGTGGGTGCCCAGTGGGAGGGGCGGGATGGAAGTGGGGGCGGGGCCGAGGGTGGTGGGTGCCCAGCGGGAGGGGCGGGGCCGAGGGAAGGGGTGTCCCGCTGGGGGTGGGGCCCAGGGGCCGGCGGGGGCGGGGCCTGACTGCTGCCGCCGCCCCCAGGCCCCGTGACCAACGCCACCATCATGCCGGCGCCGGTCAGCATGCTCAGCTCCGACTTCCGGCCCAGCCTGCCACTGCCCTACTTCAACAAGCACCTGCTGGGCGCGGAGCACGGGGACGAGCCGCGCCGCGGGGGCCTCACCGTGCGCCTGGGCCTCCACCAGCAGGTGCGCGAGCGCCCGGGCCTCGCCTTCCCCCCTGGCCCCCACACTGCCCGGTCTGCAGAGGGCGGGGGTGCCTCTCCCAGGGTCCCCTGCGGATTCCGGGCCGGGTGGGTCCCGTCCTGCCGTGGGCCTGCCCATCCCCACCGGCCTTCAGGGGCCGGCCTGTGTCCTTGGCGTGTGACGTCACCGTCTGCTTGGCTCTGGACGCTGGCCGCCTGTCCCCGCACGTCCCCGCGCCGCAGGCTGATTCACAGCCGCAGGGCACCGTCTGCAGGACCCACGCCAGGAGCGGCGTGAGGCGGGGACACTGCAGGGACACTCGGAGGCCTGGGGGGGGGCTGGGCTGGCCACTGCGGGCGTGGGGGGGGACCCGCCTCCCAGCCGTGGCGCGGGTCAGGTCAGGGGCTCCCGAGGGCTCCTCTCCAGGCCTCCGGGCAGTGCTGCCCCTCCCAGCGTGGGCTCCCGGGAGGCCCCAGGGGCTGTCCGCCCCCCTGCAGCGCCCGGGCTTGGGAGGACGGGCAGGGCTCCAGGGCTCCAGGCCCAGACTGTCCAGGAGATGGACAGCCTCTCCTGCCTGAGCCCTGCCCGGGGCCTCCTTGTCCTTGGCCGGGCCTGGCCCAGGGACCCCGGGGCACGCTGGCAGCGTCCAGAGGGGCGGGGTCGGAGACGGAGCCCCCCGTGGTCGGCAGGGGGCAGCCCCTCCTGGGCGGCCTGAGGGGCGGGCTCAAGCTGCCCTCGCTTGCAGGGCTCCGAGCCCAGCTACCTGGACCGGACGGAGCAGCTGCAGGCGGTCATGTGCGGCACCATGGAGAAGGTGGGCGGGGCCTCTGGTGGGCGGGGCCGCGGGCGGCACAGGGGTGCGCGGTGGGGCGTCCATGCTGACCTGCGCGCCTGCCCCCCGCCCAGAGCGTGCTGGGCGGCCAGGACCGGCTGCGCGTGCGCGTGTCCGCGCTGGAGGACGAGGTGCGGAGCCTGCGCAAGATCAACCGCGACCTCTTCGACTTCTCCACGCGCATCATCACGCGGCCGGGCAAGTGAGGCGGGCAGCGGCCCCCCGGCCCCGGCTCCGCGCGTGCCCGCTGGGGTCCCGTGCCGCGTGCCCACTGGCGCTGCTTTTTGTAACAAAAGATGTGAAAACTCTGTCGGCCTCTGTCCTGTCCCTGCGTGGGGGGGCGGCCGAGCCCCGGGCGCCTCCTGGCCCGCGTGCCAGAGGCCACGGTGATCCAGGCGGCCGTGGGGAGGGGTCTTGCTGTCGGGAAAGCCGGTTGGGTCCAGCGGGCCTGGGGGCGCAGTGCCCGGCCCTCGGGGAGAAAGCGGGGCCTCTTGTCGTGCAACCCGTGTCCAGCGGGGTGACCCCTGGAAGCCCCTCCCGAGGGACGGCTGCTGTGTCCCCTCCACAGGCCCCGGAGGGCCCCACCCGTGGGGGCCACAGCTGGTTCTGGGGCCGGCCATGCCACGCCCGGGGAGGGCTGCGTGCCCCCACTTCCTGGGGATGCTGCCAGCCAGCGCCTGGAGCCCAGCCCAGCACCCAGAATCTTCCAGAAGGCTGCCCGCGACTGACAGCCCTGCCCAGTGGGTGATTTAGCGGGTGCGGTAATGACCGGCCGCGAGCCAGTACCGTTCCTGCTTTTAGGCTAATTCGTGTCCTGTCCCCGCTGGGGCTTGGCCTGGCGCTGGCGGCCGGGCTACCCCCCCCTTAGCCAGAAGGCCCACGGGGGTTCCGTCCAGCCGCTGGCCCACCTTGCGCTGCCGGGGCAGGGTGCCTGTTCTGGCCCAGGGGCTGCAGCCACGGGCCTGGGTCCCGCTGGTTCTGCCCAGGAACACGGCCCGGGATGGCCCAGCTGTCCTCGGCTTCCAGCCTGCAGGTGGTGCTAGGGCTCCCCTGGCTTCCTTGCCGGCCTGCCCAGGGCCAGTGCGCTGGGGGGACGGAGCCTGCGCCTCCCACTGCTGACCTCATCCTCGGCCCGGGGTGGGAGGGGCCCTCCGGGAGCAGGCGGGCGGTGGGGACGACGGCCGGGCCGCCCTGCTGGCTCTCGGCTTTGGTTTGCTCCGTGGGGTTTCGTCTGTGACCCTGGTGTGTGTGAAGAGGATCCACCGAGTGTAGACCGTTAGGGCCAAGTGTCCACGCTGCCTGAGGGGTCCTAGCAGCCCTGGCTTCCTGGCGCCCCCAGCCGGGGTGAGCCTGGCCCACCCGTGTCCATCTGGCGCCAAGGCTGCAGAGACCCGGTCCGCTGCCCTGCGCGAGTTCACAAGCCAGGAACTGCGAAGGTCGTGGAGGGGGCAGAAGTCAGCGCGGAGCCCCTGCTGTGCGCAGACGCCCCTGTGCCCAGAGCGGTGTGGACGGCCGCCCCCGGGGAGGGCCAGGAGGGGGCAGGGCTGTGCCAGGCGGGCGTCAGCCGTGGGTGTGGGTGGGAGAGGCGTCCTCAGCCCCAGGTGGCCTGGACGGGTCCTCCTGCCGGCTCCCTTCTGAGCAGGGGGCTGGCGTGGTCAGGGGTCGCGACGCTGGGGAGCGCGGATGGCCCCGGTGTCCTCGGGCAGAGCCAAGCAGGGAGGGGCCCGCGTGGCCGTCGGGGCGTGACCCTCCCTCCCCGCTCCGAGGCGGTGACGGCGGACGCGGGTTGGCGGAGGGGCCGGCAGGGGCGGGGAGCGAGCGTCTGGCCCGGGCGCGGTGGCTCCCGCAGCTGTGCCCGCGGCCAGCGGCAACTTTGCCATGGAGTTGGTGTGGACGCTGGGGCTCGCGCTGGCGCTGGCGCTGGGGCCTGCGCCCGCCGGGGGACACCCACAGCCGTGCGGCGTTCTGGCGCGCCTGGGGGGCTCCGTGCGCGTGGGCGCCCTTCTGCCCCGCGCGCCCACCGCCCGCGCCCGCGCCCGCGCCGCCCTGACCCGGGCCGTGCTGGCGGCGCGGCTGCCGCACAACCTGAGCCTGGAACTGGTGGCCGCGGCGCCCCCCGCCCGCGACCCCGCCTCGCTGGCCCGGGGCGTCTGCCAGGCGCTGTCGGCGCCCGGCGTGGCGGCCCTGCTCGCCTTCCCGGAGGCGCGGCCCGAGCTGCTGCAGCTGCACTTCCTGGCGACTGCCACCGGGACCCCCGTGCTCAGCGTGCTGCGGCGGGAGGCGCGCGCGCCCCTGGGCGCCCCGGTACGCGCGGACGCCCGCGTTCAGATGCGCGGGACCAGGACTCCCGGGGCGGGGGGCGCGGGGACGGGCGCCTGGACGCGAAAGGGGGGAGCTCCAGGGCGCAGGGGCCCGGCCGGGGCTGCCCGGGACCCTCTGCAGGGGTGCGGAACGCCGGTGAGACCAGGTCTTGGTGGTGGAGGGCGCCCCTCCCGACGGGACCCCCGCCGATTTCCAGCCCCAACCTCGCGGCTTTCCACACCCCCGCCACGGGTGTGTGCTGGGTTCCGCCGGCCTGGACCTGCCTCCTGGCGGACCCTCCCCTTCTCCCAGGGCCCCACAGCCCCTCGGTGTTGTTCTCTTCTTGGTCCCCTGGGGCCCTGGTTTCCGGAGGAGTGGGCACTGGCAGGGCTGAGGTCGGAGTCCGCTGGGTCAGAGGGAGACCCCCTAGGGCCAGCACCAGCCCGCGGCCTCTCTCTTCCACACCTGCCTGGGAGCCTCCTGCAGGAGGACGCTAGCATTGGAAGCAGCATGGGGTCGCATTGACCCTGCTCTGGGGTCCCCCCACCCCCGCCCCTGCAGGACCGAAACCCCGGGCTGTGGCGCCCTCTGCTGCCAGCTTCCAGAGCTGCAGGGAGCCTGGCCCCAGACACCCTGCCCACCTCAGGTGTCTGGCCAAGCGCTCGTCCTTATTACGCTAAGAGCAATGCTGGAGAACTTTCCAGAAGCCGGCTTGCCCGGCCCAGGAGCCTTAGGAGGGAGCAGGCTGGCCACGGCCCTGGGGGAGCTCGGAGGGGAGTGGGGGTCGGCCTGGAGGGAGACGGGGTGCCAAGTGGGAAAGCAACGCAGTAAGGGTGGCCAGGCCCCGGGAGGCAGAGACGGGGGGCGGGGCCACCGGCCCTCACTGCTGCCCCCTCGTCCCCAGACCCCGTTCCACCTGCAGCTGGACTGGGGCTGCCCACTGGACACCCTGCTGGAGGTCCTCGTGTCCGTGCTGCGGGCCCACTCCTGGGAGGACGTCGGCCTGGTGCTCTGCCGCGCCCGGGACCCCGCAGGTCTGCTGGCCCTCTGGACACGCTGGGCCGGCCGGGCACCCCGGCTCGTGCTGAACCTGGGCCGGCCTGACACCGGGGCTGCGGGGCTGCGGGCACGCCTGGCCCCGCTGGGGGCGCCGGTGGGCGCAGAAGGCCCAGTGCCCGTGGCCGTCCTGCTTGGCTGTGACGCGCCCCGTGCCCGCCGGGTGCTGGAGGCCGCGCCCCCGGGCCCCCGCTGGCTGCTGGGCACCCCACTGGCTGCGGAGGCCCTGCCCACCGCGGGCCTGCCGCCCGGGCTGCTGGCGCTGGGCGAGGTGGCCCGGCCCCCGCTAGAGGCCGCCATCCACGACGCCGTGGAGCTGGTGGCCCGGGCTCTGGGCAGCGCGGTCCTCGTGCGGCCGGAGCCCGCCCTGCACCCCGCCAAGCTCAGCTGTGAGGACCTGCAGGCAGCCGGGTCAGACTCCTGGGGGCGCTTCCTGGCCCGGTGAGTGGGACGTCGGCCGTGCCCGGTGCTGTGCGGTGGGGTTCTGAGGCCTGAGCATCCCCGCTGACCCCCACCCCGCCCGCAGGGTCCTGGCCAACACGTCTTTCCAGGGCCACACGGGGCCAGTGTGGGTGACCAGCACCTCCCGGGTGCACCTGTCTCGGCGATTCAAGGTGTGGAGCCTGCGCAGTGACCCGCTGGGCGCCCCGGCCTGGGCCACGCTGGGCAGCTGGCGGGACGGGCGGCTGGAGCTGGAGCCGGGCGCCGCCGCGGCCGCCGCGCGGCCCCCACCCCCGCCGGGGGCCCAGGCCCGGCCCAAGCTGCGCGTGGTGACGCTGGTGGAGCACCCCTTCGTGTTCGCCCGGGAGCCGGACGAGGACGGGCAGTGCCCGGCGGGGCAGCTGTGCCTGGACCCCCGCACCAGCGACTCGGCCGCCCTGGACGCGCTGTTCGCCGCGCTGGCCAACGGCTCGGCGCCGCGGAGCCTGCACAAGTGTTGCTACGGTTACTGCATCGACCTCCTGGAGCGGCTGGCGGAGGACGCGCCCTTCTCCTTCGAGCTGTACATCGTGGGGGACGGCAAGTACGGCGCCCTGCGGGGCGGCCGCTGGACCGGCCTGGTGGGCGACCTGCTGGCCGGCAGGGCCCACATGGCCGTCACCAGCTTCAGCATCAACTCGGCCCGCTCCCAGGTGGTGGACTTCACCAGCCCCTTCTTCTCCACCAGCCTGGGCATCCTGGTGCGGGCCCGCGACGCCGCCTCGCCCATCGGCGCCTTCATGTGGCCGCTGCACTGGTCCACGTGGCTGGGCGTGTTCGCCGCGCTGCACCTCACCGCGCTCTTCCTCACGCTGTACGAATGGCGCAGCCCCTACGGCCTCACGCCCCGCGGCCGCAACAGGACCACCGTGTTCTCCTACTCCTCCGCCCTCAACCTCTGCTACGCCATCCTGTTCGGCCGCACGGTGTCCAGCAAGACGCCCAAGTGCCCCACCGGCCGCTTTCTCATGAACCTCTGGGCCATCTTCTGCCTGCTCGTGCTGTCCAGCTACACGGCCAACCTGGCCGCCGCCATGGTGGGGGACAAGACCTTCGAGGAGCTGTCGGGCATCCACGACCCCAAGGTGGGCGAGACCCGGGCCGGGCCGGGCGGGGCGGGGCGGGGCCAGCCCGAGGCACAGCCAGGCTGGCGTGGGGCCGGGCGGGGGCGCTGGAGGGCTGGGCAGAGCCCTGCTGGGGGGCGCTCCGGTCCACATATTCTGTCCTTAAAGACTTATTAATCTGAAAGGCCGAGAGCTCTCCCACCTGCTGGTTCACTCCCCTAATGCCTGCAACAGCCAGCGTTGGGCCAGGCCGGAGCCACGAGCTCCATCCGGTCTCCCCCGTGGGTACGGGGTCCGAGCACTGAGGCCATCGTCCACTGCCTTCCCAGGTGCATTAGCAGGAGCTGGAGCACCAGGACTGGAGCCGGGGCCCGTGTTGGGTGCGGGGGTGGCACGCTGCGGCTTTGTCGCTGTGCCCGCCCCGTTTTTTTTTTTTTTGTATGGAAATTTCCCGGTGCAGCACCGCCAGCCCCTGCCGCGCTCCCAAACCACCCGGTGGCTCCAGGCTGCCGTCGCCCCCGGCCCACCTCTCCCCTCCCTCGGATTTGCCGGACCTGGGCAGGCTCTGCTCCCCACGCTGCCCGCATCCGTGCAGGCCGTGGCGTCCCAGAGCTGGGCAACAGAACCCGCACACCGCGCCTTGCGCGTGGGAGCGCTCCGCAGCCCCGGGGTCGCGCCGGGCTGACGGCTGCGGAGCTGCGGGGTTGGGCCCGAGGGTGGCGGGCGCAAGGCCCTAGCGGTGCCGCCGCCCTTGCGGGAGTTCGGTGGGCAGGGTCCTGCACCTCCACGCGAGGATCCAGAGGCGCTGCAGTGGGGGCCGCGCGGGGCGGGCGCCCGGGGCTCGCGCGTGGGGAGGGCGCGCGGCGCGAGTCCCCCCCGCGGGCGTCCCCCGCAGCTGCACCACCCGGCCCAGGGCTTCCGCTTCGGCACGGTGTGGGAGAGCAGCGCCGAGGCCTACATCAAGAAGAGCTTCCCGGAGATGCACGCGCACATGCGGCGCCACAGCGCGCCCACCACGCCGCACGGCGTGGCCATGCTCACGTGAGGCGCGGGCGGGCGGGGCGGGGCCGGCCGGGGCGGGGCGTGGCCATGCTCACGTGCGGGGCGGGGCCGGAGCCCCGCGCTGAGCCGTCGCGACCCGCAGGAGCGACCCCCCCCAGCTCAACGCCTTCATCATGGACAAGTCGCTGCTGGACTACGAGGTCTCCATCGACGCCGACTGCCGGCTGCTGACCGTGGGCAAGCCCTTCGCCATCGAGGGTGAGTCGCGGGGCGTGGCGGGGGCGTGGCGGGGGCGCGCGGGGCGCGGGCGGGGCTCCCGAGCGGCCGTGTCCCGCAGGCTACGGCATCGGACTGCCGCGGAACTCGCCGCTCACCGCCAACCTGTCCGAGTTCATCAGCCGCTACAAGTCGTCGGGCTTCTTCGACCTGCTGCACGACAAGTGGTACCGGATGGTGCCGTGCGGGAAGCGCGTCTTCGCGGTGACCGAGGTGGGCCGGGCCCCGGGTGGGGGCGGGGTGGGCCGGGCGGGGCCGAGCGCACCCCCGCGAGGGCCCGCCTCCCGCCCGCCCGCCCGCAGACCCTGCAGATGGGCGTCTACCACTTCTCGGGGCTCTTCGTGCTGCTGTGCCTGGGCCTGGCCAGCGGCCTGCTCAGCGCCCTGGGCGAGCGCGCCTTCTTCCACCTGGTGCTGCCGCACATCCGCCGGAGCCCGCGGCTGCAGTACTGGCTGCACACCAGCCAGGTGGGCGCGGGGCGCGGGGTGGCGGGGTGGCGGGCGGGCGGGCCGCTCGGGCCCGGCGCCAGCAAGGCCTGTTCCGCATCTTAGAAGATCCACCGAGCCCTCAACACCGAGCCGCCGGAGGGGCCGGAGGAGCGGCCGGAGCCGGAGCCCAGGTAAAGACCCGACCCCAGCCCCGCCCCGCCCCGCCCGCCCCGCCGCAGTGGGAGCCGCTGCCCAGCGCCGCCGTCCCGTCCCCAGCGGCCCCGAGGAGCAGCGGCAGGACGCACCCGCCGAGTCGGAGGGCACCGCGCGCTGGAAGCGCGTGCGCCGGGCGGCGGGCAAGGAGCGCCGCGTGCGCTTCCTGCTGGAGGCCGCCGCGCCCGACGCCGAGCCCGCGGGCCCCGCCTGGCCGAGCTCCAACGGCCGCCCGCCCCGCGCGCCGCGCCCCGGCGAGCTGCAGGCGCTGGAGCGGCACATCGAGGCGGTGCGGGAGCGGCTGCGCCAGGCCCTCCTGCGGCGCGGCGACCTCCTGGCCCAGCTCCGGGACGGCGCCCGCCACCGCCCGCTGCGCCTGCTGCAGGGCAGGGCGGCCCCCGCGGGGCCCCGGTGACGCCGGGCGCACGAGTCCTCCCCGGCTCGGCCTGCGCGGGGACCCCCGCCCGCCGCCCCGCCGCCCCGCCGGCACACACACAGGCGCAGAGCGGCGCTGTCCGGGGACAGTTTATTCTATATACAAACACAATTTTGTACACTGCAATTAAATAGAATGGAATGAGCGCTCCTCTGCATTCCTGACTGATTGGTTTGCCGCCCACCGCCCGCTGCACCGAGCAGGGCGGGAGCCTGGCGCCCGGGCCACCACCCCTGCTGTTGGCACCTGCACCCCCTCCCCGTGCCCGCACGACGGGGAGGGGCCCGGGCGGGGAAGGCACTGCAGAGGGAGCACCAGGCGGATGCCCACCCCCGGCCGCTGCGGCGCGGCGCGGCGCGGCCCGGCTTTCCTCCACGGCTCACGTGCGCGTGCGCAGACCTGCCCGCCCTCAGGCCTCGGCTCCACCTCCACCAAGCCCCGCCCAGAACCACCGAGCCCCTCCCACCCCCTCCTCCGAGCCGGCACACACCTGGGGCAGAAGGCTGGCTTCCCGGCAAACGGGGCGAAACCCCAAAACCAACCACAGCAGGCCGGGCAGGCAGAGGAAGGGGTGCGCCCCGGGGCTCCCACCCCCCGGCTCCAGGGAGGCCGCCGGACCGAGGGTCGGTGTCGGCTGCAGGCAGGCTCAGGACGCGGCCTCGGAAGGCCCCTCCGCGGGGGCTGTGGGCACGGGGCTGGGGCCGCCCCCTGGGGCCGCCGCGGGGGCTGTGTCCGGCGCAGAGCCGCTCTGGGGGGCGCTGTCCGGGGGGGCGCTAGGGCTCGGGGGGCCGGGGGGCCGCCGCTCCAGGAGAGAGGCGCTCAGGCCCGAGAGGAAGGAGGCGTCCGTGATGATGGCCGCCGTCTCGGCCATCCAGCCCAGGTCGCCCCCGGCCGCGGCCGCCACGGAGGCCGCCACCGCCCCCAGGGAGCTGGGCGCCGAGGCCACAGGCCCAGGACCCCCGCTGGCCGCGGCCGCGCCAGGGCCCAGCGCCAGGGGCTGCGCGGCGGCGTCGGGGGCGGCGGGCGCACCCGAGTTGTTGTTGAGGTCGTCAGGCAGGGCCGTGGGGGTCCCGGGGCCCAGGGGCGGGGTCCGCAGCAGCAGCTCCTGGATGCGGATCTGCTGCAGGATGGCCGGCAGCTCGTAGTGGTGGAAGAAGTAGATCATGGAATGCTGTGGGCGGAGCCAGGCGCAGGCTCAGGCCCCGCCCACCCGCCCGTCCCGGGCGCAGGCGGGAGCCCCCCCAGCCCCGCCCCCAGCCCCGCCCCCAGCCCCAGCGGCAGCAGGGAGGCGCCGCTCGGGCCTGGGCCTCACCTGGATGAAGAGCCAGGAGGTGACCAGGGCCAGGCTGCTGTACTGCCCGTTGAAGCGGTAGTGGTAGGCGTAGAACGCGAAGTGGTACAGGTAGAAGAACCTGCGGGGTGGGGTGCGGCGTGAGCCGCCCTGGTGCCCGGCCCCGCCCAGCTCCCCGACCCCTGCCGCCCCCGCCTCCTGCGCCCTAGCCAGGTCCCCGGCCCCTCCCTGACGCCCCCATCCCCCCCCAGCTCCCGCCCCCTGCCCCCCGCCCAGCTCCCGCCCCCTGCCGCCCCTGCCTCTCCTGCGCCTTAGCCAGGTCCCCGGCCCCTCCCTGACGCCCGCATCCCCCCAGCCCCCGCCCCCAGCCGGCCCCGCCTCTCCCCCCTAGCTCCCCGGCCCCGCCCCCGCCACCCCAATTCCCCTCCCCCGCCCAGTTCCCGGCCCCACCTCCCCCAACCCCGCCCCCTGCCCGACCCCGCCCCGCCCGCCCTCACCGCAGCCAGTGGCGCTTGCTGGTGCTCGTGTGGCAGCAGATGGCGTCGTACTGGTCGGCCAGCCACACGATGAGGATGATGTAGAAGGCCGTGGTGGTGTCGTTGAAGAACTCGGACATGATGGCCTCCATCCCTGCGGGGACAGGGCGCGGGCTTGGCGCGGGGGGCGGGGCGGCCTGGGGGCGGGGCGGGGGTGGGCAGGCCGGGCGGGGGCTCACCCACGAGGGCCAGGATGACCGTCAGCAGCGGCGCTGCGGGGAAGGCGATGGCCATGTTCATCTCCAGCATCTGCAGCAGGTCCACTGCGGGCACAGGGCGCGGGCGGGGCCCGGTGAGGGCGGGGGCGGCGCCCACCGCGCCCCCGCCCGGCCGAGACTCACCGATGAAGACGAAGATCTGGTGGTGCGAGTAGCGCAGCAGCATGGACACGCTCAGGGTCTGTGGGAGGGCGGGGCGTGAGGGGGCGGCCGCGGTCCCGCCCCGCCCCCAGCTGCCGCATGGTCCCCCGCCCCGCCCCCGGCTACAGCCGCCCCGCCCCGCCCCCGGCAGCCCCCGCTACAGCCGCCCCGCCCCGCCCCCGGCCGCCTTCCGGTCCCCCCCGGCTACAGCACACACACACCCCCCCCCCCGCACTCACGAAGATGACCATGATGACGAAGGCGGCCAGGTAGGACGTGCGCGCCATCCACATGCTGACGAAGCGGTAGTGCTCGCCCGACACCACGTTCCGCAGGAAGCCTGGGGGGTGGGGGCCATGAGCCGGCCCCGCCCCGCCCACCCCCACCCAGTCCCCAGGCTGGCCCCGCCCCCGCCCCGCCCCCAGGCCGGCCTCGCCCACACCACCCCCCTCACCCTTGTTCTCCTCGTCCTCCGCCAGGCCCTTCACGCAGGCCCAGCCCCGCCCACCCCACCCCCGCCCACGCTCACCCTTGTTCTCGTCCTCCTCCGCCAGGCCCTTCACGCAGGCCCCGCCCCCGCCCCCACCACCCCGCCCCCCGCCCCCGCCCACCCTTGTTCTCCTCGTCCTCCGCCAGGCCCTTCATGCAGGCCCAGCCCCGCCCCCGCCCACCCCACCCCACCCCGCCCCCGCTCACCCTTGTTCTCCTCGTCCTCCGTCAGTCCCTTCATGCAGGCCCAGCCCCGCCCCCGCCCACCCCACCCCACCCCGCCCCCGCTCACCCTTGTTCTCCTCGTCCTCCGTCAGTCCCTTCATGCAGGCCCAGCCCCGCCCCCGCCCACCCCACCCCACCCCGCCCCCGCTCACCCTTGTTCTCCTCGTCCTCCGTCAGGCCCTTCATGCAGGCCCAGCCCCGCCCCCGCCCACCCCACCCCACCCCGCCCCCGCTCACCCTTGTTCTCCTCGTCCTCCGCCAGGCCCTTCACGCTGGACATGAGGATGTCGTCGTAGCCCAGGAACTCGTCCAGCAGCAGGCGGCTGAAGCGGTCCCCGAAGCACTGGTCCCGCGTGGGGTCTGGGGGCGGGGCAGGGGCAGGTCAGCCGCGGGCGCCTCCCTCGGCCAGGCCCCCCCGCGCCCGCCCCCACTCACCGAGCGTGACCACCATGACCGGGATGCTGAGGCGCTGCCGCGTGGCCTGCGACAGCCGCAGGAAGCCGTACTCCAGGGAGTACTCCACGATGTACTCGTCCTGCGGCCACACTGCGGGGGGGGGGGGGCGGTCAGCGTGGGGTGGGGGTCAGTGCAGGGGCGGTCAGCGCGGGGCGGGGGTCAGTGTTGGGGAGTGGGCGGGGTGGTCAGCGTGGGGCGGGGGTCAGTGCAGGGGCGGTCAGCCCGGGGGAGTGGGCGGGGCGGTCAGCGCGGGGTGGAGGTCAGTGCAGGGGTGGTCAGCGCGGGGGAGTGGGGGGGTGGTCAGCGCGGGGGAGTGGGCGGGGCGGTCAGCGCGGGGTGGAGGTCAGTGCAGGGGTGGTCAGCACAGAGCGGGGGTCAGTGCAGGGCAGTCAGCGCGGGGCAGGGGTCAGTGCAGGGGCGGTCAGTGCGAGGCAGGGGTCAGTGCGGGGGCCGTCAGCACGGGGCAGGGGTCAGTGCAGGGGCGGTCAGCGCGGGGAGGGGGTCCGCGCGGGCTGCCCAGGGCCCTGCTAGTAAGCTGGAGGCTCTGCTCCGGGACCCCCAGGCCCCAGAGCGGGTGGCCCGCGGCCCTGTACCTTTGGTGGGCGTCTCGGAGAAGGGGAACTCCTGGCTGTCGTTGGCCTCAGTGCCCCGCGGGGGCTTGAACGCCTTGGGCTCAATGTCCAGCTCAAACTGGGGAGGCGGGAGCCAGAGTCAGGGCCCGCAGCAGCTTGGGCCTGCTGACCGCCCTGCGGGGACCCCACCCCAGCGCTGCCCCAGCCCCGGGGGTGGGCGCCTGGGGACAGCACCCAGGCCCCGACGGGAGGCCCTGGTCACGGCTGGCCCACGGCCCGCCCTCCCAGCGCTGAGGCCGCCAGCCAGGGACATGGGGCCCCACAGCAGGCCCAGCCCTGGCCGGCCTCCGTTCTCGGCGCCCAGGCCCGGCCGACCCCCTGCTCATGGCCACTGGGGCGCTGGGAGGGCAGACCCCGCCCCCGGCAGGGGCCGCACGCCGGGCCTGGCGGCTCACCTGGACAGAGCTGTTCCCGAACATCTCCATGGTCAGCTCCTCGTCCTCGTCCTCCGGCTCCACGGCCAGCCCGGGGCAGCTCCCGGGGGCGCCGGCGCCGGCGCAGAACTGCAGGAAGACGGGCGCGCGGCTCGAGTTGTGCTGCACCTCCACGCGCAGCACGCCCTCCCGCGGCCAGCGGTCCCGCACGTGCTCCAGGCAGCTGATGGGCGAGCGGGAGAAGACGAAGTGGATGTAGGCCAGCACGAACAGCACGAACAGGGCCTGGGGGGACAGCGGGGTCAGCGCCGCGCAGCGCGGGAGAGCCTGGGCTCGCCCCCGCACCCCCTGCCCCGCGACGGCCTCCACCATGGCCACCCGCCCCCGCACACGGCTGGACCCGGGCCGGGCGTCTCCCCTGCGAGGGTCGTCCCGGCGCACGCGCCCCCAGCCGCCTCTGTCCACCTGGCTGGCCCGAGCGGGCAGTGCCGCCTGTCCCCGGCCAAAGACCTCGCCTGTCTCAACAGCTGGGCGCCCACATCCTGCTGTGGCCGGCCACACCCCTGCCGCCCCCACAGCACCTGGACATGGCCAGGCCCCCGGACGGCTGTGAAGCCAAGACGGATGGCAGTGGGCTGACCGGGACCTGCGGGACGGGCGGCCTTCAGGGGGCGGGAGCTGGGACCCGCCGTGGGTGTGGCCGGACGCCGCACGTCCTGGGCCGGCCACGCCACACCTCGCGGGTTCACAGGCGGCCAAGGCACAGCCACAGAGCTGCAGCGGTCCCCGGCCAGCAGCCTGGGCAGCAGGGCCTGCCGGGGCGGGCCTTGCCTCCTGCCTCCCCACCTGTCTCTGGGGTCAGAGTGACCCTGGACATGGCTCCAGGCCACATCTCCCCCTGTGGGGAGGGTGCAGAGCGCCCAAGGCCCAGCCCCCGGGCCAGCGGCCGGCACCCTGGGTCCCCCCGCCGCCGGCACCCTGGGTCCCCCCGCCGCAGCCTTCCCAGGGACCCCGCGGAGCTGCCCGCCACTCCCAACCACCACCGCCCACGTCCACGCCACCACGGGTCAGGGCCCTCACCCCGTGGCAGGTCAGGCCGCCTGGCCCAGGCACCTGCTCTGTGCCTTTAAGCCAGCAGAGGCCACGGCCAAGGCCAGCAGGGTGGTCTGAGGCCGCGTCCCCAGCGCCTGGCGCCGCGTGGACACCGCGGGCAGGAAGCAAGGTGCTTCCGGAACTCGGGGCAGCGCCGCGGCCGGCAGGAGGAAGCAGGCCACCAAGCTGGCCCGACAGCCGCGGGGCCGCCGGTGAGCTTCCAGCAACCACACGGCGCCCGGGGCCGGCCACTCCACGCCCACGGAGGGGCCCCGCGAGGCCCCGCGGCCCCCTCGGCCGCCGCAGACCCGGCTGTCCGGAGGGGGCGGCGGCCCGGCGTGCGGCGTCCGGCTCCAGGCCGGGGACGGGCGGCCGCGGCGAGGTCCAGGGGGCTCCCCCTCCCTCCCACCTGCGGCAGGCGGGGCGCAGGCCGCCCCCGGCACCCCTGCACCCCCGCACCCGCGGGCGGGGCGCTGATGAAAACCGCCCTGCCCACTTCCCCACTTCCCCTGGCCGGAGGGAAACCCGGAACACGGGCGGCCCCCGGAGCCGGGCGAGCTCCTTCCGCGACCCCCTCCAGGCCCCCCAGAGCAGACCCGGGAGGGGCGGACCCCGGCCGGGGGGGGGGGGAGCCGGAGGCCTGGCGACCTCAGCTGTCACTTTCGCGGTGAGGCGCGGGCAGGGGCGGGGGAGGCCCCGGGGAGGGGACACCCCCACCGGGAGGCGGGCGCCGGACCCTCCAGGCTGGGGAAGGCGCACCAGAGTGGGGTCAAAGGTCGGCGGCAAGTGCGGGGCTGGAACGGGTGAACTTTCCGGAGGGGGCGGGCGGCAGGTCCCCCGGCAGGCGGTCCAGCCCGGGGGTCGGGGGTCGGGGGTCAGGGGTCGGGGGTCGCGGTCACCTTGAGCAGCACGAAGAACTCGAAGAGCCGGCGGAAGGCGGGCGGGAAGAGCCGCGAGTAGGTCACGGCCATCTTGAAGAAGAGCGCGTGGAACAGCCGGTCGCGCACGTTGATGAGCGGGTTGGGGTTGAGGTTGGGGGTGCGCGGCCCGCGCGCGGGGGCCGGGCCGCCGCCGCCGCCGTTGGGCCCGGGCCCCGGCGCTCCGGGAGCCGCGTGCTCCGACATGCCGTCCGGCGTCGCGCCCTAACGGCCCGCGGGTGCCCGGGGACGCCTCCCGGCCGCCATCGGCGCCCCTTCGCGCCGCTCACGGCCCCCCGGCCGCCGCCGCCATCTTCCGCCTCCTCCGGGCCGCGGCCCTGCTGACCAACGAGCCGCCGCGCACGGCCAGAGCAGCCTCGCTGCGCCCGCGGGGCACCCTGGGATGCCGGCGGCCCGACCGCGGAGGCCCCGCCCCCACGCTCCGCGGCCCGCCTCGGCGGAGCCCGGGGGCGTGGCTGCGCGTGGCACTGCTCGTTTGCATATTGCTTCCCAAGAGCCTTCGCGACCGAGAGGCCGCGTTTGAATTGTAACATTATGGGTAGTTTTAGGCTTAGATGTGACTCAAAGTAAGTAAGGGTACAGAAATTGTCCTTTTCTGTAGAACACGAAGGTACTATGCTCTCTGCGAAACTATACCAAAGGCATCCTAAATGTAAAGTAATTTTGTTAGTGACCTTTAAATACTAGCGGCAGGCACCAGTTACTCGTGCTCGCTTCGGCAGCACATATACTAAAATTGGAACGATACAGAGAAGATTAGCATGGCCCCTGCGCAAGGATGACACGCAAATTCGTGAAGCGTTCCATATTTTCTTGCCCAAGCTCAGTGGGGGTCGCCGGGGGTCGCGGGGTGTCCTGACGTCACGCCCCGCGGTCGGCAGAGCCGGAGGCTCCCGCCCGGCTCCGCACCTCCCATCGGCCTCACCGAAGGAGCCGCGCGCCGCCTTGCGGGCTCACACGGCACCTGGTCCCCGCAGCTCTCCGGCCCCGGTCAGGGCTGCGCCCGCGACCCCGCCCGCCCCTGGCGCGCCTCCGTGCTCGCTCGGCCCCCGCCGCCGCGCCCCGGTGGGTGGGTTCACGCGGGAGGGGACAGAGGCGCCCTCCCCGCGGGACAGGCCTCTGGGACATCGCCTGTCCCTGACCCCGCAGCCGTCCACCCCGGGGCCCTGCGCTGGGGCCAGTGTGGAAGGTGCGCTCCCACCTGGGCCGCCGGGTCCCAGGTTCTGGACTCCCACGGGGCACGCGCACGAGCCCAGCAGTGGAGAGCGACCCGGAGGGGACGCACGTGTGCATCCTCCCTCTGCGAGGTGGGACCTGGTGGGAGGGCCGGTGTGGGATGCGCCGGGCTGGGGGGACACGCCTGCCCCCTCGCACGCCTGCTGGCGCTGTAAGGAAACTCTGGACGGCACGGAAGCCGGCCCTGACGCCCCCAGTGTGCCGGCGTCCTGCCCCAGGCGGCTCAGTTAGGGGCAGCTCAGGGACAAGAAGTCACCTACAGGACAGGGTCACACCCATAGCTCCCTGTGTCCCGTGCCCAGGGCCATTGCTGGTCCCAGGCCCTGCAGCCCCACCCCGCCCCGTGTCACTGTAGGGGGGCGACCCATGGCCTCCCCGGCCGTCCTGGGCCCACGTTGACGCACGACGGCCAGCCCCTGGGCCCAGCACCCTGGGGACATTTCCTGGCGCAGCCTCGTCCCGCAGGGGACCGGGCTCAGCTTCCTAAGGTGACACAGCCTCCAGGGAGCCGGGGTGGACGCTGCGGAGGTCACGGAACTGGTCAGCATCGTGTTCCCGAGTTTCTAGAACTGGGATATCCCCAGGTTCCCGAATCCCAGGATGTAGCAAGGGGCGGGGGCCCTGCGCCTGACACCCCCGCCGGGGCCCCTGGCTTCGGCCTGGCCCAGCCCCGGCTGCTGCAGGCATTTGGGGAGCAGCAGGTGGAAGACCTGTCTCCCCCTCTCTTCCAAGTAGGTGGGAGGGGCCGGCGCGGTGGCCTGAAGCCTGGCATCCCGTATAGCTGCTGGTTCGAGACTCGGCTGCTCCACTTCCTGTCCTGTTCTCTGCTGTGGCCTGGGAAAGCAGTAGAAGATGGCCCAAGTCCTTGGGCACCTGCACCCGCGTGGGAGACTGGGAAGAAGCTCCCGGCTTCGGATGGGCGCAGCTCGGGCCGTTGCGGCCATCTGGGGAGTGGGCTGAGCATTCCCGGAGGACGGGTGCGGCATCCGCCGTGGTGAGCACAGGGCACGGGGCGAGCCGGCGCCAGCAGGGCGGGACCTGGGTGTCACTGCACGTCCCCAGGTCGGGGAACACGGAACCGCCCTGAGCTCCCTCCCCAGCGGCAGAGCGAGGCTGACAGGGCACGGGCAAGGGGCAGCGGGTGGCACGGCCGTGAGGACCCCTCCCCGGGTGCCTGGCTCGGGCTCTCGACGCCAGCTCCCCGCTGACGCAGACCCCGGGGCCCGTGGGAGCCCCAAATGAGCTCCTGGCTCCCGGCTTCAGCCCGGCCCCGCGCTGAGCGTCCCAGCCATCTGGGGCGTGACCCAACCGAGCCGCGAAGACCTCTCTGCCTTTCCAATAAAATATTCCATTTTTTCCATGAACTCTGTTTGCCTCATAGAAAGAAACTTTTTCTTTGAGACAAAAAAAAAAAGATTCCCGACCCCCGAACGGGGCCCCACCTTGAAGGCGGCTGCCACTGGGCCCCAGCTCCGGGTCAGCGGGCTCCGGAGCCAGGACGCGAGCCCCTCCCCCGAGGCTGAGGCTCGTCGGGGCTGGGGGCCGGGCCCGCCCCCGGGGAGCGGGGCTGGATGGGGGCTGCACAGCCCCGGGTGGGCCCTGCGGGGCGGAGAAGACATCACAGCAACCTGTGTGTCCTGGACCCGCCTGTGGGGCCGCGGCGTGGTGGGAAGACCACGCGGACCCCCAGGTGCGGTGAGAGCAGCAGGGACCCCGCCCTGCGCACGCCCCGATCGATCTCCCTCCCTCGCGGCTGCGGGGTCGACCACCCGCACGCTCGGGGTGAGCAAGAAACCGAGACCCCGAAGGGAAAGGATTTGCCCGGATGGGAGTGGGCGTGGGCGTGGGCGCCCCCCAGGAGAGGAAAGGACCCCAGGGGCGCCAGGCCCCTGCACTGCCTCCCGCCAGTCCGGGGCTGAGCCGCGGGCAGCAGGGGCGCAGGCTGATGCACGCGCGAGCGCGTGGACGTCCACGCTGTTCTGCGTCCGTGTGCCCGGCTCCCGCGCAGACACCGCCCGCGGAGCACCAACCGCGTGCCCGGTCTCCGTCCGGCCCCGGGGTGGCGCGGGACTCTCGGGGGTCGCACTCCCGGGGCGGGGGTGTCAGCGGAGCCGCCGGGCGAGGGGCCCCTCCCGGCCGCCGCCGTCCCGGGAGCGCGACCCGGGCGGGGGTCGGGCGCGGCGAGGGGCTCAGGAAGTCCGCGGCCGCAGGAATTCGGCGC